GACAAAGCCTTCGCGCAGTTCCTGACGGATGAGATCAAAGAGGAGAAAAAGATCCAGAAACACAAATCTCTGCCCAAGGTCTCCGGGGGGTGGGAGCTGGAAGTCCACGGCACGGAGGCCAAGCTGGCGCGGAAGGTGGCCGGCGAGAGGTAAGAAGGGTTCGTCTGGGCCAGCCCCTGTGCCGAGGGGGCCGGTAGATGACGGTAACCAGATTCCTCCGTGTGCTCGTGTTACTTCCACTGCTGTCTGTCCAGCCCGCGCGAACCGGACGCTGCAGAGGCTCTTTGTTTCACCACCTCGGGTCAAAGGCACTTTTTTTTTTAATTTAACACAAGTTTGCTACTGTATTCTGCGTTACAAAGTTTCGTGCAGCCTTTGTGCGTTACAGTTCAGTCCGGTAAAACTCGAAAAACGCTTGTTCGTGAGAGCAGTTGGAGGAGGCCAGCTTCACGCAGGTGTGCGTCTTAAACTCGAACTGCAATACCTGGCTTTGCTCACGGCGTGCGAATTCAACACCAGTAACGCTGTCCCCACTGGAAAAAGCTTCGAAGAGAAGAAATCCTGATGGGTATTTTTTGGGTGTGTTCCAAGTAACTGCTTCTGTTTCTTTTGAAGGATAACGGTCACGTTCAACATCAATAACAGCATTCCACCCTCGGCTGATGACGAAACACAAGAAGAGCAGAAACCTGATGAGCAGGAGGTAACTTGGTCTTGACGTGCACTTCACCGATGGGTGCACAGAGGGAAGTTAGAACCTTGCCTGGAAGCGTTAAGGGTTTTTTCCCCCCTCTCACTTGATATTTGGGAGCGTTAAGTCACAAAACGCAGATTTTTCTGGGTTGGCTGTCGCTTGGCCGTGACCCTCCTCTCTGCAGCAGAAAGGCAGAGCGGGGTGAGAGGGCTCCACGAGGAGAAATGAGAGGAACTCGGATACCTCTTGCCTTTGCAACCCCCTGCAACAAATGCTGCCTTTTGTACTTGGCTAGCGCAACTCACCGTGTTGGTTGTCAACGAAACGCAAAGCTATTCACATGACTTCACTTGCATGGTTTTGTTGGTCAGAAGCGTCTCACTCCTGTTTAGTAAGACTGTTAGTAAAAATACCGGTAGAAACTGTAACTGAGCAATGTGATTTGAGGCAGATGGCTTCATCTGCAGTGACACTGATGCTGAACGAGACAGGAATGCAGCTGCTCGGTTTGTGGCAGTTAACTTGCGCTTTCTGCATGGTAGCGTTTATTCCAGCGCGTTGCACTCAGCTGGGTGGGACAATACTGGGGACATTTGTACGTTGCTTCCCTTCCCGGGCGCGCCTGTATCCGCTGAGGAGGCGCAGTGCGCTGGATCTGTGCACGTGTACGTGAGTTTGGCAGCCTCTGTGCCCTGCCAAGTTTCTTCCATGAAGGAGGGCAGACACGAGCAGCTCCTGCTGTCAAAACAATGTGAGTCAGGTCCCAGTTCCTCTCACTTCGGGGGGACCCGTCCAGGTGAGCCGCAGGCTCTCTGGGTTGTCAGGGGGTGGCAGATGCTCCCAGCTGCCGTTTTACCCGTGTGCCCAGCCGCAGAGCAGAGGAGGGGCTGCAGGGCCATTGGCGAGGCTGAGGGAGGCTTGGGTTGCCCTGGCCAGGTCAGAGACTCCAGAAGGAGGGTGGCAGGGAACAGCCTGCGCTGGACGGGCTGCGCTGGTGGGCCGTACTGCCATCGCTTTGGCTCCTGTTCAGACTCCAATGCTGATGCAACTTTCCTCCTGTTTAGCCTGATCTTACATCAACTCCAAACTTTGTTGTGGAAGTAATAAAAGATGATACAAAACAGACCCTCGTTCTTGACTGCCATTATCCCGAAGACGAGGTGGGTATCAAACTGGTCGTGTGTCAGCCGTAGCTGTGACTCACTGTGTGTTTCCTGCTTGACTGTAGCGTAATTGTGCCGCTGTTGAATCTAACTGCTCTTCATAGGCTGTTGGTTTCCTGGATCTGCAGAAAATGCATTCTCCTCTTACCCCTCTCTTTTTTTTTAACACACAAAAAAAAAGGCTTTGCGTTTGCAAGAGCACTCTCTGGGGAGGAGATGTTCCATTGCATTCCTCACATCCTGACCTGGCATTTCTGATCGGCTGCTTGTTTATTGAATTACATTAGAGAAGGGAGGCATGGCTGAACTTTAACAGCATGGCAGCTTGAGAGGGGTAAACAAAAACGGCCAAAACAAGATAGATTTAGTACAGTGTGTCAGGAACTTGCAAATCTCATTGTTGTGAGGTGTCACAAAGAGAAGTAGGGATAAAAAAAAAAAGGGGGGGGGGAGAAAATAAAATTGAGAGCTTGGGTGCACACTTGTCTTTGTGGTTTATTTTGTAAACCTTGACAGATCATTTATGCAGCCAGTCCTAGCTGACAAATGTTAGACAGACGTGGGAAGACAGGTTTAGAACCACACAGAAGAGGTTTTTGCATCTTTGTAAAAATCAGGCTGCTGATTTCCATCCGGCTGCTTCTGGCGGCATGAGCTGGCAGAGTGACCTCTGAGGGGGTTTCCTGCGGTCTCGTGCATGTCTGTGCTTGTCTTCACAGGCACACGTTGAGAGGGGAGAGGCACAGCTTTAGCACTGGTCTTGGGGTTTTGCCTGCAGTGTGATATTCCTAGCTTCGGGATGAGATGGCTGAAGGTGCCCGGTAATTAGAGCTAATTGGATGTCTTCCATCTCATTTTCTGTTTCAGGTTGGACATGAGGGAGAGGAAGAAAGTGATATTTTCACAATTCGGGAGGTCAGTTTTCAGCCCACTGGAGAATCGGATTGGAAGGACACCAACTACACCCTCAATACGGATTCCCTTGACTGGGTAAGTGCTGCTACCACGGTCGCAGGCTGCGGGAGGCGCTTCAGCCTGTCTCACCCAGCTGTCCTTTTGCTCCTGAATTATGAATGAGTCCTGTCCCGCACGTCTGAGGCTGGGCGTTGCCCCGCTCTGCCCCAGCTTGTCAGGAGATAGCGGTTCTGCTGCGAAGCGAGGATTGTTACATGGTCCCAGCAGCTGTGCAGTGCTGGCGGCGTTACTGGCAGTCAGAGACAGACACGTTGAAACTTGTTCTGTTCCAGGCTTTATAGGTTGCTTTCCTAGCAGCTATATTACACTTCAGAGATGCTTTGACGCTTGCTCAAACATCTTTTGATCTATGTGCTTAACAATGTAGCTTATCACATACCACGTGTAGATGCCTTTGTTTTCTGGGTTTTCCAGGTATGTTTTTATAGTTGCGACACTAAAAACTAATATGCCCAAGAATCTGGCATCTGCTTACATGTTCTCAATGCCAGGCTTTCAAAAGGTTAAGTCTTAGTTGGAGGCTGTGTATCATAATGATGTGTATCATAATGATTAAAACTTTACTCGGAGCGCGTCTCTCTCTCTGGGAAGCATTCATGTTAGAATTGGTTAGCGTGCTCTAGAACATCCCACACTGGTTTTTTTTCCTCTCTGACTTAAGACAGAAAATTAATTTAAAAATGTGTGTGATTTGTGATCTGTTCAGATTGCAGAAGTCCAAAATTAATCATTTGCTCAGTAATATTGGTCTGTTTAAAAAAAAACCAAACCCAAACCCCAAGAAACGTGTGACAGATACTGGCATTACTGCACTAAGCAGTAATAGTGAATCTGTTCTCCTGAGGAGCGAGGCGGGAACCCACAGCCATTATCATACGCTGGAGTTGCAACAGTTAAGTAGGATTAAAAAGAAGGAGAAAGAAGAGTCGATGATTGTAAAGATTTAGTCTCTCAAACAAATATGTACGTGAGATACCGCCCTTTCCAGACACTGTTAAAGCAATTCACCCCCAAGGCCACATCACTATAGAGGGGGGACAGGCAGAGCTGGGTGTGTGTAATCTTTGACAGACTTCACCTGCTGACTCCTACGGTCAGTTGATCATCTCCAGAGCACGGCCTGTTTGTAACGTTGGGTTTGGGTTTATATGGTCAAGTTTGGATGACCTGTTCCATGGCCCCTTCCCTCCAACTGATAACACCCAGGGCCAGGCCTGCTGGGAAGGGGATGGGGAGCTGCCTGGTCTCCTGCGGGATGCAGGCCACATCTTCCTGGGAGAAAGAAATGCCAGCTGCCATGGCACATTTTAAAAGCAACCCCTCCCCAGGTGCGCTCTGCTAAGGCAGTTTCCTGTTCATTGCTTCCAGGCTCTGTACGATCATTTAATGGATTTCCTGGCCGATCGAGGAGTGGACAACACGTTTGCTGATGAGTTAATAGAGCTCAGCACTGCACTGGAGCACCAGGAGTACATTAAATTCCTTGAAGACCTTAAAAGCTTTGTCAAATGTCAGTAGGTTAGGCTGGGAAGCTTCAAGTGTGGGTATTCCACAGCACTGCTCAGCCAGCAATACCCAAATATATCTTCACAACAGATACAGAGAGTAAGTAACTTTAAATTTGGAAGTGAACATCATGGGAGAATGAGGATTCTCGCTTGTATTTGGGGATTTGTATTTATGTTGCAGCCCAGATCAAGTTCTCTAACGTTGTGGTCCAGAATTGCCTTGCCCTACTTGGTGGTTTTTGTACAATTAAGAATGAATGTGAAGAATAAAATCTGTTCAACATATCACTGAAAACTGGTGGTTTCTCTTCTTCCTGCTGTATCATTGCTGACCAGAAACCTGCCAGAGAAGCGATGCTAGTGTTTGTCTGTGCCCGAGCCAGTTAATGCAGCTGCCCGCAGGGCTGTTGCTGCAGCGATGGCGTGTGCTGGCCCGGAGTTTTCTCCAGGGAGAGCTATTCCAGTACCACCAAGCACGGGGCGTGCCCTTCCGTCAGCATAGTTGCATCTGTAGGAAGAAGTTTGCTGGCCAAGCAGTGCTAATTATGAATGTGAATCTCCTTCTGGAAGTCTTGGCTGGCTGGCTGGGTGTTAGGGAATAGAATTCAGGGTCCTAAACGTTGTGTTTGAGGAGCTGTTTTAAAAAGGGATGTGCTGCCATAACCTATTATATTAGTATTAACGTAGCTGTTCTAGAAAAGTACCGCAGGGAGGCTGTAGCACTTCAGTTCCAGCGGAACGACTGAAAGGCTGTGGATGCTGATGTCAAAGGCCCTGCGGCAGGGCAGCAGCTGCAGCTCATATTAAGTTTAAACAGAAGCCAAAGCTGAAGTCCAGTGTGAGCTGTGAGATCACCGATGCATTCTTAAAGACCACACAAAGGCTGAAATTAAGTAAGTATATTTATTTCAAAACATATACTGTGCCATCAAAAGTGCAGGTCAAGGCAGTACTACTGCCCTTTCAAGTATCTTTTTGACACAGCAGTTACAAGTACATACATAAAAATATGCTCTGGGTGGATTTCTAGCCTTGAAGTCCTTCCAGTAAAAAAGCAGCAGCTGAATCAACTTAGAGGAGAATCGTCCAGGAGTCACAGACCTTTACAAAAGGTAAGTTGAACAGAGAAACGATAGCAATGTATAAAATTAATTATTAATGTTCAAAACGATTTGAAATGCTCTGCTCCTAACACTGTCCTCACCGTGTAGGTACACACGGTGATTTTACCTAAGCAGCAAAGCTAAAAACTTGCTAGCTCTAGCCTGAGCCAAAGGGGCGGTATGTGTTTTCTAAGAGGTATGGGCGAGCCTTTTGAGGAGGCTTAAACTGAAGTAATTTTTAAAACTTTTCTTCATGAACCACTTATCTGAACAGATGCTCCACCACACTTGGCAGTTGCTGGCTAAGGTGTGAGAAAGGTAAGGCACTAAGTTTGACAGGTCCTTGAAAGGTTCCCTAATCCAGCAGTTAAGTTGTGTAATTTGGCTCTTCCTTTTACAGTTACTGGTGGTCAAAAGTAAAACCATTTCCAAGGAAGTTTGTGGAAAAACCGCAACACAAATCAACAGACTTGTGGTTTCTGCCCGTGTAATTGGGAAGCGGATCCCAGCAGAGATCCTTCCCGGGAACTTGACATTTAGACTCACCGGACAGCTCATGAGAAGACTGGCTGCTTCTTCCTCCATTCCACTGGTAACTGTGAACTCTGGGTTGTGAAAGCACCTGTGACTGTGCTCTGTTACAGTGTTTTCTAGAAGTGACCGAAGCTTCCCTTCTGTCATACCCTGGGAAAAATTGGGGTAAAAGAAATCGCACGCTGAACTTGCTGCCTCTTGGCAGCAGCAGACTTAAGATGCCACATTGAACGTGTTACTCACAGCGCAGCTTACCTGCGTGATGATGTATAATCCACACTGGCAAAAAACCAAGTGATTCCTCACAGTCAGGTTATTCCTAGAAGGAGCATACAATGAGCGTCATCACAACCACCAGAACAAAGGTACTTTTTAGCAAAAAACCTCTTAGATTTAGGAGATCATTGCTCAGGTGTTTTCATTTTGTGGCAGTTAAGACTAACAGCAGCCCGTTTGCCCACCGCTTTTGCCTGTTTCTAAGCCCAAACTGCTGTAGGGGAGTGAAGAACCTCATTCCAATGCCAAGGGCTTTCTTACTTTCTACACACTGGGCAGATGACCTTGTCACTGACATCCAAGCCATCAAGCATCGCGTTGAGACATTCTTCGTCGAACTGCAGACTTCGCTCGTACTCTTCTATCATCGACTGTTCTGCAATGACACCGCAAAAATCCCCTCGCGCGTCTGTTAACGAACTGAAGACAAAGCAGCACACCCGAAGCTGCTGGGCAGATGGAGGCTGGGGCAGCCACTAGTTTCTGAACTTTTCTTTCTTTGGATCAGATTTCTACACTTGATGAAATCATTCCTGTTAATCCAGTTTTTCCTACGGCTCAGTCTTTAGCCGGTCTCAAGTGGGTGACTTTCAGCTTTCTAACCAACAATTTAGAAACGTTCTGAATTGATTTATACAGGTTCCTACAGCCCCCAAACACCTCAGTCCTGTTTCTCTGGTCTCCTCTCAGCTTCTCACAGACCTTAAAATGCCACTTAAACTCTTCAAACGGTCAAAAAAGGTCTCAATGCATTAGAGAGGCTACAGAGGTTTCTAAGGAGGCTCTTCCGTATCACGTGGTCTACAAGAACCAAGGAGTGCACCCTCAGCCAGTTTGGATTACTAGAAAGTCAGGAATATTGCAAATCAAATAGGAGTCAGAAAACGGGTAAAGAGATTACCTTGCAAGATCAATTCCTGTTGGATCTCTTCCAGTACTGCTAGCTCATCGGGGTCCTCCAGCATCTGAAAGGTGCATCAGTCAGTAATTGTCCCATTCTGGCTACTTTCTCACTTAACTTCCAGCACCTGACTGAGCTGTCACTGCAACATAAATTCACCCTGCTTATTCTATCTGGCAAATCTCTGTACGTGCAGAAGCACGCACTGTGGAAAGCGGTCTATACTATAGCCACCTGCGCAAAGCCAGCCACAATAGAACACGGCCTGTCCAAGAACCTGCTTTTTAAAACACTAAAGTTTTATTCCCCTTCCCAGGAGCGGTCAGCGACAGACCAGCTCTAAAAAAACACAGATGAGGAAACCACCCTCTGCCACGATTCACGCGCAGTTTGCGAAGGAAACGAGGAAGTTCCCCGCCCGTGGGCCCGAAGGCAAGCGCTTCCACAGCACAACACCCCGCACGCGCCGCGGGAGCAGGAGACCCAGGCGCTCCGAGTTTTGCCAACTGCAGCCGGCGAGAGACCGAAGTCACAGCTGCGGAGAGCTGTACTTGACAGGCCTGCGTTAGGCGGGTGGCGTGTTGACGCAAGGATGCTGGAGAACGCATCAGCCCACGGGCGCCGTACGTACTGACCTGCGCCAGGGCCTCCTTTCCCCTGAGGGACGGCAGGCTCCCCTGCGCGGCCTGCAGCGGGTGCCGGTCCAGCGGCTTCGCCCGGCTGTTCCTCAGCCTCTCCATGCAGCGCTTGGAGGGAGCAGACCACACGGAACCCGTTAGTGCCGCGCTGGGCTGGGAGACGGGGCCCCAGGGCCAGTCGCATCCCATCACCTCCTGCACCAGCAGCGCGCCCACGGCCTGGCCACGCGCTCTCTCCCCGGCCCGGCGGTGCCGGGCCAGCAGCTTCGCCCGGCTGGTCCCTCGCCTCTCCCTGCAGCGCTTGGAGGGAGCAGACCACACGGAACCCGTTAGTGCCGCGCTGGGCTGGGAGACGGGGCCCCAGGGCCAGTCGCATCCCGGAGGGGGGGTCGCACGGGAGCGGGGCGACAACTCCTACCGGGGCTTGGCCTCAACCAGCCCGCGACGGCAGCGCCGGGCCCCGGAAGAG